ACTGATTAAGAGGACAAGGGCAAAAAACAGGACAGAAAGTAGGTTTAAATGTATATTATACAAGCAATGAGGCAGTTCAAAAAAGATATAAAGTCTTTAAACTGCTAAGGAACCTTATAGATGCGGTGGAGACTGCGTGGGGCGGAGTAAACAAAGTGAAAGAACTACAGAATAGTGTTAGGAATGATGACAAAACTAGAATTAGACGAGGTTTAAAAACTAAACTACATTGAGGAGGACTCAAAAACCACATTAGCAAATGTCATGCTCACAGCGAACAGTAGAAGTATGAGAAACAAAATGGATGTTGGGCCTTGGTATGTACCGAAAAATCGATATAATTGCATTCTACTGAAACATGGATCAACCTAGACACCGTGAGTTACCAGTGAATGCCGTGCAGGTTACAAACTGTTCCATGCGATAGGCAGACCAGGAAGGAGGCGGAGTAGCAATCTATGTAAAGGATATCTGGTATGAAATAAATAAGGAAAATAAAAACTAGAAGATAAGAAACAATTTGGATAGAGATTAGCGACGATGGAAAATTAATCACAGGAAGTAATATAGACCCCCCAATCTTGATAAGCGTCAATGAAGCGACTTATCTGGGATGAAATCTTGGGCTTCCATACACAATAAAGTCTGTATAATTAGGCTTTAACCTTGGCAGATCGTTGGACTGACATACGGGTAATAACTCAGAATCACAAGTTTTCTCCGAGACTGATCAGGACTGTTCCTAAGTCAGCAATATAACCAGACCCCTGCGGGTAATAATATACTGGACTTAGTTCTGTCGGTAAACCTCATTAACAATGTCGGGGTGGGGAGCAGACTTGCAAACTAGCGATCCTAAAGAATTCGATTCAGTTAGATTTTCAGGGCGGAGCGTGAAAATTCCACTAAAGTGCCAATTTCGAAGGAGCAAACTTTGAAAAGGCAGTTTAAAACTGGCTGAGAAGGGTATACAGCAACTGTGAACCTGACAGATGACACCGACCTGATAACAAGATCTGAGATTGCCGAGTTCCACGACAATTTAAATAGTGAGGTTACTTAATGCAAAAGGCAGAACATACCATACAAAAAACTCCAGATCAGACAACAATGACCTAAATGGGTAGAAATAATTATTTAAAAGAACATCATTGGCCAAAGGAAGGCTATAGGTAGAAGGATAAATGGTGAAATTCATAAGACTATTATAAGGGTATTGGCGGTAGGGGTTAAAACCGAGATAAGGAAAGCAAAAGAGGAATAATGAGGTAAGGATAGCAAGGAGGCGAAGACAAACCCCAAAGGATTCTAAATGTATCAAACTAAAACACGAGAAAAGATTGGACCAATACGGTCAGACTCCGGCGAGCTCACTGATAACGACGGAGAAATGAGCAATAATTTGAATAAATATTTTTCAACAGTTTTCACCACCGAAAATTTAAACATGATACCCGAGGCACCAACTCTATTCAGAGATAGTGAAGAAAACAAATTAAGTGAGATAGTAGTGACTAGTAACGATGTTAGTAAGCAAATAGACAAACTAAAGCCTAATAAGTCACCTGGTCCCGATGAGATATTTGCCAGAGTATTAAAGGAATGTATGGAAGAGCTTAGTATGCCCTTAGCAAAGTTGTTTAACATGTCCTTAAAAACAGGTGTAGTACCAGAATCCTGGAGGATAGCAATGTAATACCGATTTTCAAGAAGGGGGATAGATCACTATCCTCTAACTACCGCCCAATCAGTCTAACATCAATAGTAGGCAAATTACTGGAAGCAATCATTTCAAACTCTATTCGAAATCACCTGGAGAAGCACCGATTGATCAATGATTCCCAGCATGGCTTCACAAGTGGACGTTCTTGCCTAACTAATCTATTAACATTCTTTTCATCAGTTTTCGAATCGGTGGACGAGGGGCACAATTATGATGTGGTATATCTCGACTTTAGCAAAGCCTTCGACAGAGTCCCCACGAAAGACTAATTAGAAAGGTAGAAGCTCATGGCATCAAAGGTACATCCTTAAATGGATTAGGGCATGGTTACAGGACAGGAAACAGCGAGTGAGCATTAACGGCACTAAGTCCCATTGGAGCAACGTCACAAGTGGAGTTCCCCAAGGCTCAGTACTTGGACCATTATTATTTATTATATACATAAACGACATAGATATCGGCATTGACAGCAACATAAGTAAATTTGCTGATGACACTAAAATAGGACGTGTTATCAAATCTGACGAGGACTCGGCAAAACTAAGGAAGATCTAAACAAATTTTTCCAATGGTCTGAAAAATGGCAGATGAAATTCAACGTCGACAAATGTAAAGTACTCAGTATAGGAGATGTAAACAGGGAACCAGGTACCAGATGAACAACGATGCCATAGAGAAATCCGACTGCGAGAGAGTTAGGAGTAATGATAAGTAGGAACCTTAAGCCAAGTAAACAATGTGTTTTTGCTCGTAACAAGACTAATAAAGTACTTGGGTTCATACAAAGGAGTGTTAGTTACAAGACTAGCGAGGTCATCCTAAAACTGTATCTTGCTCTTGTGAGACCACACCTGGATTACGCAGTTCAGTTCTGGTCACCGTATTACAGACTGGATATAGAATCCTTGGAAAGAATTCAGAGGAGAATGACAAGACTAATCCCGGGCATTAGGAACCTTGAGTATAGAGACAGGTTAAAGCATCTTAATTTGCACTCCCTTGAGAGACGTAGAGCGAGGGGCGACCTGATAGAGGTGTATAAGTGGAAGGCAGGGCTAAACAAAGGGGACATTACAAAGGTACTCAAACTATCCAACCAGGAGCGAACTCGTAACAATGGTTTTAAATTAGACAAGTTTAGATTTAGGCGTGAAATAGGTAAACACTGGTTTGGAAACAGAGTAGTGGATGAATGGAACAAGTTACCAAATATCATCATTAACTCGAATATGCTGAATTGCTTCAAACATAGGTTGGATGCTCATATGAGCAATAGGGGTTGGGTGTAAACGGGACTGCCCAGTATGGGCCAACAGGCCCGCTGCAGTTTCCTCCATTCTTATGTTCTTATGGGCGCTGTAAACGCTTTTGTGCTTCACCTTGCACAGGATGTAAGGGGTTGCCCAATAAACTAGCCCCCTTGGGGGCAATTTAAAAAAATCTCGACTGAGTAGTGCCCCTTGAGCTGTTTATACACCTCAATTAGGTCGCCCCTTGCCCGTCTGTAGTATAAGTTAGTCAAGTTCAGGCGCTCCAATTTCTCAGGGTAGTTGAGGTGCCAAAGTGCAGGCACCAGTCTGGTGGCCCTCCTTTGAACATTTTCAACCAACTGACAGTCCCTAGCATATCTTGGGGACCAGACAGGGTATTACTCCAGATGGGAAAGCACTTCACTCTTGAAGATCGTTACGAGGGACGGAACGTCTAGATATCTGAACGACCTTCTTATAAGACCCAATAATTTATTTGCCTAATTTACCTTCTTCTCGCAATGGCCCGAGGACTTCAGCTCATTGTCAACATACACACCTACTGTAGGTCCTTCTCACATTCAGTCTCAAGTAGTGCAGTTTCTTCATCCCGTTGGGACATATGATACGCCTCCTTCCGCCAAAACCAAAATAAACTTCAATTTTCTTTGGAATGTTTATACTAATATGAAATTTTATGTATGGACAGCTAATATCCATTGAATTGGTTTATGTACTTGGTAATATTAATTTATTCAAAATAGTATTACTGTGTTGCTTAGCAAAGCACAATTAATTATCAATTCAATTTCAATTTCAATGGTTTATTCCTTGATAGAGGAAGCGGGATCCTAGTGCTGTCACTAGGTACCCCTGTACAATGACACCAGAAGCATCTGGCAAGCAGGGCCGGCGCTACCCACTAGGCGAACTAGGCGATCGCCTAGGGCGCCAACATCTGGGGGCGCCACAAATTCAGGGCAAACTTGGATAAAATTAAAAATGAAGGGAAAACTGTGGTGGACACTGTGGTGGAGGCGTAGAGGGTCGGAGCAGGATGTTAGAAGGGTGGGGGATCGGAGGGAGGCGAGGGTAGGTAGACGGTAGCCGACTGTGTTTTCTTTTTTAATATTATTCGTTAACCCCCCGGAGGGACTAACCCGGGTCCTTATCTTTGGCGGCCTGGAGAACTGTCGAGCAGTGACCTGAAGGCTGACATCTGAGGAACCCTTCTCCCAACCCCACCATCCCCTCCCCTCCCTTACTGCCAGGGCGGCTGAGCCGCCCCTTCCCTGTCTTTGTCGGGATGAGGCAAGGTTACCTGACCTCTGAAGTTTACGTCAAGAATTTATTGACTTAATGTAATAACAATAATTGGTTATTTGCATGGGTGAAGTAATAAAGCCACAAGATGAAAACAATGTAGTAATGGATTACTGTACCTACATTAGCTTATCAAAACTTTCAAGGGGGCGCACATCTAAAGGCTTGCCTAGGGCGCCAAATCATCTTGCACCGGCCCTGATGGCAAGTGTGACAAGTATATACAGTATAAATATTATAAAGGGGCTTACTAAAGCCTAAGGAAGGAAGGATATTCCTTTAACACATAATTAATATTATTTACAAAATATCTGGTCAGTATTGGGAGGATCATCGTGTCTCCGTCAGGGGGTCGTGGAGTGGTGGTCCAGCAGGCGTCACGGAAGCGTTGTGTGTGGGGACATCTTAGGAGGTAGTGAATAAGGGTGCTGCTGTTGGGTCTTCTGCATAATGCACAAGAGCGTTGCTCAGGGGATGCGGGGATACCAATCTCCCAAGCAAAGTCATACCCAATGATGATACGGGCAGCAATCACGTCCCCTTTCCGCGACCCTTTCCCATAGACGTACGAGAGGTCAGGAAGTTTACGGAGGACATCGTACCAGGTGGGCGGGGAGTCCAGGGGGATGGCTGCTTCCCGAGCTTCTCTCTGTTTGCGGCAATTAATTATCTAATATTTATTTACAGAGCCGATCAGCCGAGAAGGTTGGACAACTACAGCTGGCTCGCCCCAACTAGTGACGTCACAGCTAATCACAGAGCATTTCGCAGTCACGTGACTTTTTAGCAACTTTAACCCTTATTGCCATAGTGAATTTAAGCGTTTTCTTTACCCAATGACCTGCCATCTTACGAAAAAATTCCGACCGACTACTCGTACATTGGACGGGCAAGTCGCGAGTTTGGCAACACTGCCCTCGGTTCACCACAAAGGAACTCCGACTGTGGTAGCATGACGTCATTGAATGGGGCGGAGCTAAAGTTTATGACGTTACTGTTACTCGGTTACTTTGAGTCTGTCAGCTCTGTCCTTTGTATTAGTCTGTATTTACCTTGGGATAGAGCAACGCGAAGTCCAGTCTTCTCGGTGTGAGACCACTCTCGTATATCTGCTTTTCGGTGAGTACAAATACACTCATTTGTAGGTAGTAGGTAGCTACCAAGCAGGGAGGTACTACCGCCTGGTAAGATATTGGAAACATAATGTGTTGTCTAATGGTAGATCTTGCTGCCATCTGGCATGATGAAAATTGTGACCAAGTCCCAGGTTGCTGCTGACTTTCTGCCTCATTTACACAATTGTAGGGCCTCATTTGTTTCTCTTACCATTGACAACACAACATACATATAATATAATGTTTCTCACTCTTGTTCTTTTTTTTCTTTTTTTTTTCTTTGTGGTTCTTTATTATTATTATTATTATTATTATTATTATTATTATTATTATTATTATTATTATTATTATTATTATTATTTTAATATTCCCCCCCAGGGCCCAATGTGGGCCAGTTTCTTCCTATCGTTGCCGCGGACCTCGGTTTATTATATACGTAGTTTCGTGTACATTACATTACTCACCAGCAGGTCTAGTTCTATGTAGACCTAGCATTACTCTTCCGTCCCTTGAGTGGTAGCTTTAAAAGGAGAGCGGGGTGAAGATCAAGGATGCGACGTTTAAACACAATAATTATAGGTAAGTCAAAATCTTGGATTCTCCTGAATAACATTGCCGGTAATGAACTCAATGATCAGTCATTGTTGGTAGAATTTTTTTGGGGGGATCTTTAAGGTGAAGTCTTGTCACTGCAATAAGTATAATGTCATAAGGTGAGAGATTTTCTTAACTTGTAAAGCTTACACTCACTAAGCTCTACAAGTGTGTCCTGTCTGCGGTGTTCTCTGAGTCGTATGCTCTAAAGTTCTTATTCATAAGACTAAACCCTAGTCTGTGTTTGCAGAATCACGGTATTCCCTCCTAGTCAGTAGTTGGTCGGCTTTATAATGTTTGGTGTTCTCGCATGGCGATTAATAGTTCCACTACTTTTTACACTCGTCAGTTTACGTTAGTGATTGGTATGGTGGTTGGTGGAATAAATTATCTCCCATTGTAGCTTACAGTGGTGATGGGGTGGAGGATGGTGATGACGTGAAGGATGAAGTTAGGGTGAGGGATGGTGTTAAGTGAAGAACGATAGTGGGGTGGAGGATGGTGTTGGGCGGAATAGTAATGGTAGAGAGGAGGTGGTGGTCCGCTCGGGGAATTTCTTGGAATTCCCCGCCTTGGAAGATATTTTCCTACTTTATCTCCCTGTTCTCTGTTAGGTACTGTTGGCAAGTACTGGGCACGTGCTGGCCCCAAAATATATATGTATGTACACCCACTAAAAATTATTTGGCACCCGTGTCATATTGTATCACGCCGTAAAGGTGCCGAATAATTTTTAGTGGGTGTACATGTATGTATCTTGCATGTATACATGTGTGTGTGCGTGTGTGTGTACAACTATCATGTACACCCACTAAAAAATTATTCGGCACCCTTACGGCGTGATACAATATGACACGGGTGCCGAATAATTTTTAGTGGGTGTACCTGCACCAGTGTTGGTGCAGTTTGTTCTAATAACGTATAATTCTTACCCCAGAAAAGTTAGCTCTAACAATTTTCTAAACTCGTGGCTTCATCACCCTTAAGCTGTGACCCCTAGTGAGGCAGCCAACCATCAGATCCAGGTATGAACATTCGACTGACTGGGTAATGACATCAGAAGTGTTTATAGTTTTCAATGAAATCACCCTTGCCCGTCTAGAGTACAAGCTAGGCAACTGCAGGCGCTCCATTTTCTGGGTAACAGAGGTTCCGTAGTGCAGACACAGTCTGGCGGCCCTGCTTTAGACATTTTCAACATACCACGGTCCACTGGTATGCTGCCCATTCTGGGTTCACTAATCCCAAGGCGATAACTTAACTTTACTCTTAATTTTAAGGTCGCTGCTACCAGACCCCCTGGACAGTGTGTAGCTTGTTGCTGGCAGAGCAAGCCAGGCATGAGTGTATGTTTGCATTCATCAAACCAATGATGGGAGTAAGGGTGAAACATCATTCATAACTTAACTAATTTATTTTCAACTAAAAAATAGTGCATTCAGTTACAATACAAAAAATAGTGACCTTCATCAAAATTACTTTTATTAGGTTCATTACACTTCACACCAGTACACGACCTTCTCCAAATGAACTAATTAAAATCTTCAATCTTCATAACAAATCATTGACCTCCTTACCTCGGTCATTATTTCTTACCATAGCGCCCAACACATCAGATTGCACCCACAGTAATATAGCACCACATATCAGGTACACTCCACACCTACAAGTATGGAACTCCTCGGTATTATCCAGGTAAACATGATAGGTACCCCTCTCACACTCTACTCGTGCTAGGTAGATGTGATAATGTGATACTTCCCAGGGTAGTTATACCAGGACTATTTCAGCGTCCGGTATCATGGGGTCGCTTAAGTGGCGACCGCGAATCATCCCATATAATACAATCATTGTATTCTGTCCTATATGGTGATATGTGGGATGTCCAGGGGTCTTAAGGGAGATTGCAGGGTGGCCAACAGCGTTCCCCACAGTAACACGTGGGTGCCTCACAGGTGGGCGATGATGGCTGGGCTGTGCATTTCTCCGACTCCCTCGGGATGACCTACGCTCTCGGCGTACACCTGCGAGGGTGAAAAGGGACGCCCGACTGATTATAATGCCTGACTGGCTTTTATATCCCTGCACACTATTACAACTAGCATTTCACTTGATACATTAGGGAAGCTTAAGAAAATTGTCAAGGCAAACTTTTTTGGAGTGAGAGTTGTAAACTCTTGGGGTGTGACGGCACCGAGTGTGAGCTCATTAAAGACTACACTTGACCAACGGCGCAGTTTCAAATAAATTATGGACCCAACAGTGTGTAACAGAGACGCAACCAAGGAAAGTATATAGGACGTGATCGTCCATCCAATCGGCTAACAGGCCGATAAGTGGTGAAGAGGACAAGTATTGTACCGTAATTATCACTCCAAACTGCTCTATCCCCACCATGACCACTTTTAAAGTCTCTTTTAATTGTCCCTGGGTAACAACAGTCTCTGTACCACTCATAGGTAGCACAAAAAAGTAGTGAGGTCATAAGGGGATTTATTGCACAGTGAAGAATAAAAAAAGACGAGGTACAGTACAGCTATAGCATTCTGTGGACCTTATCCACATTATCCCAGACGAACTGTTTTGTTATAGACTCCGGCAAGTGATTGCCGGCACCTTCGTGCCCAGTGAAAGTTTGAACGCTCGTGCTTGGCTAGCGTACAGCGAATGAGGGTGCGCCAAGTCCGTAAACTTGCATGGTTAATTAAGGTGCACCAAGTCCGTAGACTTGCATCGTTTTCCATCGTAAATAAAATAGTTAATTAATGCCTTCCTAAAGAAACCATCGACATGGGACCAGGTTTGTTCCACTCTACGAATTTTTTGCGATTTTTCCACCAAGTTTTATGAAAAACGATTGTGCCGTTTCGGCTGCCCAGAACACACACACACACACACACACCTAGTCCTATAGTATATTACCTGACCATTGTGGACCTGGTCTCACCGTCCTCTGTGTATATACACCTTGTTTTGTACTTCTCTTTAGTCTGTACTCACCCCTGAAGATGTGAATTACACGAAAGGGCTTGGGAACTTCGTGTTTTCTTCTTTCCTTGTGGTTATCAGCATATAGTATATTACAGGGGTTTTCAAACTATGGGTCCCGACCCTTCAGTGGGTCGCGAAATAAATAAACTGGGTCGCAAAATAAAAATGGGTTGTGAAAATAAATAAGAAAAAATAAATAAAATGGGTCGCGAAAATAAATAAGAAAATAAAAATAAATGCACCATAATTTAGGCTTGGTTATTGTAATGTACACTCCACAGTCTAGGAAGCGACTGCAAGGAGAGCATTTCCTGATTCTTTCTTTACCTCTCATGTCATCCGTTTTGCGCATTTAATGTTATTGCACTTAGGTTTAATGGGTCGCAATTCAAATTGTTGTTCTGGCTGTGGGTCGCACCCTGCACCCTGCCCGCGCCGCTTCCTGCGTAAATGACCAAATTTACCGCGTAAATCAAGCATCCCTCTTCTGGCAAAGTACCGCATAAATGACAAAACGCGTAAACCAAAACCGCGTAAATCCAGACTCAGCTGTGTATATATATATATTTATATATATGTATATATATATATATATATATATATATATATATATATATATATATATATATATATATATATATATATATATATATATATATATACGTTATGCAGAAGACCCGACAGCAGCACCCTTATTCACTACCTCCTAAGATGTCCCCACACACAACGCTTCCGTGACGCCTGCTGGACCACCACTCCACGACCCCCTGACGGAGACACGATGATCCTCCCCATACTGGCCAGATATTTTGTAAATAATATTGATTATGTGTTAAAGGAATATCCTTCCTTCCTTAGGCTTTAGTAAGCCCCTTTATAATATTTATACTGTATATACTTGTCACACTTGCCAGATGCTTCTGGTGTCATTGTACAGGGGTACCTAGTGACAGCACTAGGATCCCGCTTCCTCTATCAAGGAATAAACAATTGAAATTGAAATATATATATATATATATATATATATATATATATATATATATATATATATATATATATATATATATATATATATATATATACTGCAGATATAATTTTTTTTTTCGGGGATTAGCCCACCCGGGCACAGGTCACTGATCCACATCGCGGTCTGGGGTGCGAAAATGTAATAATAATAATAATAATAATAATAATAATAATAATAATAATAATAATAATAATAATAATAATAAAGAAATGCAAAAAAAAAAATTAAGTGAGAAGCAATACAAGTACAGTATGTTGTGTTGTCAATAGTACGAGAAACAATTGAGACCCTGCAAATGTGTGTAAATGAGGCAGAAAGCCAGAACAGCAACCTGTGACTTGGTCACAATTTTTGCGATGCCATATGGCAGCAGGGTCTACCACTTTACCATTAGACAACACATTGTGCTTCCAATATCTTCCCAGGCGGTAGTACTGTAGTGGATTCCTCCCCTTCAAACGCTGTTTGTCGCTGAGTAGCCGACCCCGCGAATTCCCCAGTATATGCCTCGTGGTCTAGGTCAACCAGCGCCGCCTTACATGACGGAGGTCAACTATTAAGCCACGCCTACCTCCGCTATATAAGACCTGACCTCGTGGTGACCTACCTCTTTCTACCTACACCAACCAGCAAGCAACATCTCCTCCTCCTCCTGCCTGGCGGCCCTCGCTCCCGCCGGCGAGCATGGCGACCCACAAGCTGGTCCTCCTCAGAGCACCCTCACCAACCAGCTCTCTCTACTCAACGCTTGTAACCACGCTGCCACTTCCCAGCACCAAGCTGCACTGTACATCCAATACAATATGTATACAGAGAGCACATTGTGAGTTTCCTTTCTCCATCCCATCCTGAGTGTGAACCAAATCACCCGTACCCCACAAATAGTAACCCCGGAGTGACACTCACACAGGATGGAGGAGAAACCGATCACTCTCCCAGTTTTCAAGCAATAAGGAAGACTGGCTTATCCAGACAGAGGCAGCTCTCATCGGCTCTACAGCTACTGTCTCTACACCGTAGGTTAGACACCCTAGAGCAGCTCTGCTTCTCTAAGCAGACACCAGCTCCTCTTCCTGCCTCAAGCACCACGTTCTACCGACCCCAGCACACCCGTCCTGCCTCAGACGCGCACCCGGCCCAGCAGTACCCCCTGCCACTGTCCTGGACCCTCCTCCTGATGCGGACCCTCCTCCTGATGCGGACCCTCCTCCTGATGCGGACCCTCCTCCGCTCCTGCCTGGCAGCCCCTGCTCCCGACGCGGCCCATGTGCCTGAGTGCGGCCCCACACACCGTTTTTTTTTCCCTCAGGTACTCCCTGCTACTGTCCTGCACCCTGCTGCTGTCATGCACCCTGCTGCTGTCATAGACCCTCTTCCTGATGCAGCCCCTTCTCCTGACCCAGACCCACACACCCCAGCAGGCGCATCTGAGGACTCTGTACCTGTCGCGAGGGAAGCACAACATTCATCGCCTCCACAACCCTCCTTCTCCCTCTTTTCTCCCACAGATCTCGTGTATCTAAACAGAGTTGCCCCCCCTAGCGGCCGGCTCATCCACGCCCTCGCCGTTATGGCTCACATGTGGCATGCACCGCCCGTTCTGCCTCACATGTGCCATGCAACCCTGCAGACAACAAGTCTCCTACACCGCCTGGAGGGAAGGGGGAGTATTGTAGTGGATTCCTCCCCTACAAACGCTGTTTGTCGCTGAGTAGCCGACCCCGCGAATTCCCCAGTGTATGCCTCGTGGTCTAGGTCAACCAGCGCCGCCTTACATGACAGAGGTCAACTATTAAGCCACGCCTACCTCCGCTATATAAGACCTGACCTCGTGGTGACCTACCTCTTTCTACCTACACCAACCAGCAAGCAACACCTCCTCCGCCGCTGCCTTGCGGCCCTCGCTTCCGTCGGCGAGCATGGCGACCCACAAGCTGGTCCTCCTCTGAGCACCCTCACCAACCAGCTCTCTCTACTCAACGCTTGTAACCACGCTGCCACTTCCCAGCACCAAGCTGCACTGTACATCCAATACAATATGTATACAGAGAGCACATTGTGAGTTTCCTTTCTCCATCCCATCCTGAGTGTGAACCCAATAACCCGTACCCCACAGTACCTCCCTGTTGGGTAGCTGCCTACTACTTACGACCTAACAAGTTACCATTAAGCAAGTATAACATTTGGCTTTTATGCTTTTGTTCCCACATTATATCCTAATTATTTTATTTAAGTTTTCCTACACAGCATTTGTTTATAGAGCTTCACTTAGTAATTAGCAACTAATATAATGTTAAGGATACGTAGAATTGGTCGGAACTGACTTGGTAATTAAATTCTTCATATTATTATATTTCTTTTTGTTATGTATACAGCAAGATGTTGGCAGAGGTGGAAGACCCAACTTCACCCCATGGCAATGGAAGCAGGTTCATCAGGGGCATTAAGGTAGGCCTTTTCCAAGTCGTTCATTATACAGTATACGGCACAAATGCTGAAAATTTAATCATTAAATCCTTCCTTATTCTCAGACCCTATGCACACATTTTCTGTCATCCTTATTTATCATTACACAGGTCTTCTCTTTCGAACATTTTTCTTTGACATACTGCTCTGTACCAGGTATTCACTCTAGCTTACCCTCTCCTCTCATGAAGTTAACACACACACACACACACACTTCCCTCAAGTAATTCATTGGTCACTTTTGCAGTACCTGTTGGCATATTTGCTGGGACCAGTACCTGAAAGAGACACCTGGCATAACAATGTGGAGGGGATACTCAGTCACATTGGCTATGTTGTTGGGCTGGGAAACATGTGGCGTTTTCCATACTTTTGTTACAAGCATGGTGGAGGTAAGTTCAACAGAGGGTGATGATGAATATGATGCTTGGGAGTGAGGATATCAGCATTTTATATACTGTACCTGTATTTATTATTGGGGAAGTGATCAGCGATTCCAAATTTTATTTATGTACAGATATTGCACTAATTTTGTGGGATTGCTTGTGTTAGGTTTGGGTTTAATAACTTGAGTTAAGTTTGGTTAATTTTTAGATCACGGTTGGGGTGGGTTAGGTTAAGTTAATTTGTTACATAAAGTTAGATGTAGGTTTGGTTAGATTTCTACCATTAAAATGTTTTCTTGGTGTAAATTAACTTAATAAGATTTTAATGTAAATGCTCTTTGTGAGGGTCAGTTTCTTAAATATTTTAGTCTTTTGTGAGGTTGGTCAGTTATAAAATGGAAGATTATGCAAACTATTATAACACCAGCGTGTCCCACAGCAACATTCTTCATCCCGTACACTGTGTTCCTCCTGGTGGTTGGTTTGCCAGAGTTTTTTATGGACGTCTCTCTGGGTCAGTACCTGAGCCTTGGACCCACACATGTATATTCCTACATGGCTCCCATTTTTTCTGGTAAGTCATCAAATCCTTCTCATTGTGAACTCAAATGCATTTGGCCTCTAAAAGTTCCAACCATAACAGAAATATCGCAAGTTAGAGGAGAATTCAAAAAGTTTTCCATATCATGTGTATATAAACAAGATACAGTACTAATATCATTTATCCACTTGTACATGAAAATTGAAAACAAATATTTTCATACAGTCCAGTTTCTTACCTTTAAATTTCAAAGAAATCATCCTCAGTCACTTTTGGAGTAAGAGGTGTGAGCTCTTGGATAAAACCTGACAGCAAAGTTGTGAGAGCCCTAAGTCCAGGTTTGACAAACACTGGAATGTGTTTAGGTATATTCCAGACCATTTGTATACCCAGTAATTGCAAACTGTGCAACAGAAAACTGAACAACCAACTAATTGGTTAGTAAGCTGAGAAGTAGCAATGGATAGATATAGTTTATAGTTTTATATGGTTTGAATGAAATTACTCATACATATAATTTTGGGGGGTGAACAGTTAAAAGTGGATAGAATTAGAGTGTATGAAATGGTTTCCTGTACCTAAGGAACTGTTGGTTCTCATAAAAGAAGACAGAACATATGGCATTTGAATGTGATACAGTACTGTACAGGTACCTAATAATTTGGCCTCAATGATTTTTTAGCCTGTTTAGGTTTAGCTAGGAAACTTCTTGATTGATACATCTTAGGCTAAAACTAGATTCATGAATAAATTAAAGGTAAAATATCCTTGTGTGTGTGTCAGGGCTGGGCTGGGCCATGGTTGCTATGTCTCTGGTGGTGAGCGTTTACTACATTGTGGTGCTCGGTTGGACGCTCTACTACCTGTTCCTCTGCTTCCAGCCAACACCTCCCTGGAGTCGTAACAGCATCGAGTATAGTCTTCCAGGTGAGGAATCATCAGCAATATTACTGTACAGGGTATATATAAATATTAAAGGACTATGCAGCAGTTAAAGCTACAAATAATGCTCCCGGAAAGTGAGCAGTGGTTGTCTCCTGGCAGTGCACGTGGAGTTCTGCACTGGCAAATACCTCTACCAAGATCGTCTTTAAATGGAAATGAATTTTGTGAATATTTTGTTAATTTTTTATATAAAAGAGAAAGTGGATAAAGATATACTGGTAATTGAAGTGTCCTCAAGTATTTTGTTTTTCAGACTCCCAGATGGTAGACAACATTACCTATGTGGCCAGCTGGAAGTTTTTCAGGTGAGTCAACAATTGGTTGTTTCTCAAAAGTCAGTTACAATATTTAATTTTTTAACAGTCAATCACATGTCAAAATATCAATAACACTACTTGTTGCTCAATAGTCTACAATTTGTTTCTCCATAGTCACCATTCTCTTCCTTCATAACATTCAATCACTTATTCCTCAGTAATTTTTCTTTACTTACTTTACTTTATCATCTTCACCACTTATCAGCTTACTAGCCAGTAGGGTGGTTGATGAGTTCTCTGTCATGCACTGTTGATACCCAGTGTGCATATACGGGATCTTTTTAAAGTGCCTGACCATGTGCCAGTGTTAGTCAAATCTGGACTTAAAGAAGCTCACACTTGGTGCTGCCACAACCGTCTCTGTCAGCTTATGCTCAGTGTTCATAACTCATACTTCAAAGTTAGATCTGACAATTTTCTGTAGTGATAGTTTCCTTAATTTGAGGCTGTGACCTCTAGTGGTATAATCTGGTGGCCATCTGCTAACTCCAGTCTCATACACTTGACTAAGTGATGCCTTTTAAGATGCATATAAACTTATATTAGATTGGCGCATGCCCTTTTATAGTAGTACAGTATAAATAGACAGTTGAAGACATTTTAATCTCTTTTGGTAAGTGGGATGTATGAGTGCTGGCACCAGTTTGATGGCTCTTCTTTTGATGTTCTCAATAAATTTGCATTTTTTGGCACATCTCAGAGAGCAACCAGAATTAAAGTTCTTAAAGCGACCATCTATGCATGTGTAAGATCTTTGTTTAAGGCTCCGTTATTTTTTTTCATAATTTTTTTTTTAATTTACGTTCTTATAATAATCCAAGAACTTGAGTTTGTAATCACTTTAAGCACTTAAATCTATCTCTCATCAAGTTTGAGTTAAAGAATTGTCTTTGTTACATTTGGACAAATACTGTACTGTGATATACCCTCTTACTAATGGTTTAATTTCAGTGCGTCCATTTGCATTTCGAAATATTGAAAGTCAGCATCCATTTCCTTGATCACTCCTGAGGTCAACAAAGATCTTCTTGTAGAGTTTCGCAGTCAGTCTCTTGTTTCTCAATGTCAGTCGTTTCTTTATGCGAGTTCAAAGGAGGGCCACCAGACTGGTGCCTGCACTTCGGCACCTCAGCTACCCTGAGAGATTGGAGCGCCTGAACTTGCCTAGCTTATATTACAGACGGGCAAGGGGTGACCTAGTTGAAGTGTATAAGCACTCAGGGGGCACTACTCAGTCGAGTGTCCTTACTTGGAGCTGGCGGACGCTCGCCCCACAAGGGGTCACAGCTCAAGATTGAAGATGCCGCAAGTCCAGAAAACCGTGAGGGCAAACTTTTTCGGAGTGAGAGTTGTGAACTCTTGGAACAATCTACCAGAGAGTGTTGTGACGACACCGAGTGTGAGCTCTTTCAAGACAAGACTTGACCAACACTGGAGCGGGTTCAGGTACATTCAGGAGCCGGTGCATGCCCAGTATTTGCCAACAGTGCGTGACAGAGACGTGACCGATCGCCCGGGCGGATAGTGAGCCGATCTTTTGGTGAAGAGGATAAATGAAAAGGAAAACTGCTCAGAGACGTGACCGATCGCCCAAGCGGCTAACGAGGATAAAAGAAAAAAAAAAGGGTGATTGTCACTCCACGAATAACTATAGACCAGTGAGCCTAACAAGCATAATATTTAAAGTACCCTGTACAGTACTTGAGAGCATTATAAGAGATGCCATGATGGAGCTTCTACTACGAAACAACCTCGTAAATAATTGCCAACACGGTTTTATGCCGGGACGCTCCTGCTTGGCACAATTACTCAGGGTAATGGATATTTGGACCCAAATTGTAGATCAGGGTGGTAATATCGACAATATTTACCTAGATTTTGCCAAGGCTTTTGACAGTGTACCTCATAAGAGGCTGAAAATTAAACTGGAAGGGTACGGGATTCGGGGAAATGACCTGGCATGGGTAGAGGACTTTCTACATGACCGCAAGCAGTGTGTGTGTGTGTGGTTAATGGCATGAAATCGTCATCTGTATCCATAACAAGCGGGGTACCACAGGGCAGTGTATTGGGTCCGCTGCTGTTTGTTTGCTTCATAAATGACATGCCTGAAGCTGTACATTCCTCCATACAAATGTTTGCTCATGACGCCAAGTTATTTTGGGAAATTAAGAACCAAGCAGACTGTGAAAAGCTTCAAGAATGGTCGAAGAAATGGCTGCTGAGATTCAATGTCACGAAGTGTAAGAGGATGCACCTGGGACGTACCAACGGTAAGGAGGCGTATCATATGTCCCAACGGGACGAAGAGACTGCATTAAATGAGACGGAATGTGAAAAGGACCTAGGTGTGTACATTGAAAATTAGCTGAAGTTCTAGGGCCATTGCGAGAAGAAGGTAAACCAGGCAACTAAGTTATTAGGTCTTATAAGAAGGTCGTTCAGATATCTTGATGGTCCGTCCCTTGTAGCAATCTTCAAGAGTGATGTGCTTCCCCGCCTGGAGTGCTGCCATCCCGTCTGGTCCCTGAGATATGCTAGGGACTGTCAGCTGATTGAAAATGTCCAAAGGAGGGCCACCAGATTGATGCCTGGACTGCGGCACTTCAGTTACCCGGAGAGATTGGAGCGTCTGAACTTGCCTAGCTTGTACTGCAGATGGGCAAGGGGAGATGTGATTGAGGTGTACAAGCATCTCGGAGGGCACTACTCAGTCGAGTGTCCTTACCTGGAGCTGGCGGACGCTCGCCTCACAAGGGGACACAGATCAAGGTTAAAGAAGCCGCAAGTCCAGATAACTGTGAGGGGTAACTTTTTCGGAGTGTGAGTTGTGAACTCTTGGAACAATCTGCCAGAGAGTGTGGTGATGGCGCCGCGTGTGAGCTCTTTTAAGACCAGACTTGACCAACACTGGAGCAGGTTCAAATACATTCAGGAGCCAGTGCCTGCCCAGTGCTTGCTAACAGTGCGTAAAAGAGACGGAACCGGTCACCCAAGCGGCTAATGAGCCAATCAATTGGTGAAGAGGATAAAAGTAAAAGTTAACGGTCATTTGTTTGTATCTCAACAGTTATCACCTGTCTATTAACAGTTAATTTTGTGTTTGTCAACAGCAGGGCCAGATCCATGGAGGGGATCCTGTGGGTCTGGACCCCCCCTTTCCATCTGAAAATTCCAAAACTTTTTCTTTAATGCAGTATTGTACTCAGGCATTTTTGTATAGCAAAAAGTAATTACTATTGACCTCAGAATGTTTCACAATATTAAGTGTACGTGGCTTCAAAATGGCCTCAAAATGCCCATGATAGTCATATTTAAAAAAAATTATTCTGTGGGGCTTACACAGCTACACAGCATCCCCCAGCTGGGTGGGTTTGCTTGCTATGTTCCCCACTCACAACTTCTTGGACCCCCCCCCCCTTTGATATTCCAGGATCTGCCGCTGAACAGTTAGTTAATTGTTTCTCATCGGTCGTTTGTTTCTTAACAGTCAAACACTTGCTTCTCAACAGTCAGTTATTTGTTTTTAAAGTGAATTAGCTACATGGTTCCTTTTGGCTCACATTTTCAAGACTATGTAAAACATTTATGTATTCTTTATGATTATGGTATGATTTCCAGTCACAATTTGTAATATAAAGAAATGCAATAATCACTCGTGCAACAGCAACTCAGTCACATTGAGCTTCAGCATCATCATCATCTGATCAGGAGAAAATTTCTTAGTTTATGATGGAGTTTGTGAAGACTGGTATTCATGTAGGTGTTAAGGCTAGACGAGAAGAAGAATTACACCATACTTCTCACATTTTTTAACTTAAAATATAATTGGAATATTTTATTTTTTCAACACACATCAGTAAAGAGGAAATGTTGCATGAATTATCAACAATTGAGGAATTAGTTGCCAGAATTCGTGACAGTTCCATTATTAAGTGAAGCATCAGAGTAGCACAGAGGGACGTTGGCTAATACTGATTACCAAAAATGATTTCTGGTGTAGCATATTGAAAGATCTAGGAAACTTGGATAATGGGGTTCACCTTGATTTACCAGGATATGAAAGGATGGAATATCTCTCTCTTGGAATTTCATGGACGTTACCAGGATGTGGGATGATGGAGTGTCTCTGAAAGATTAGAAAAGACTTGGGGTTGTGATCATCATTATTTTATGTCCATTTTCCATGCTTGCTGTGTTTACTTGATGGCAGCTCTCCAAGCTACCATGGTCTCTTGCAGCCTTTCCCACAGCTGCCATCAGCTGGATCTCCTTCCTATTGCCAACCTGCTTTAACAAAATGGGAACTGGGCATTATGTGAAGAATATCTAAACACCCTCTCAGCTGGCAAGGCAGGTTCATAACTCCCTAAGGTAATCAGAGATTACCCACCAGCTTTTTTTTTGATAATTTTTAACATGAAGTTATTATGTCCACAACTGTCACTACCCGAGTTTGACCATTACAGTAAGTGTACAGTAAATTAGACTAAAATCAAACAGGAAAACTGGAGGCACACTTGGATTTTGTTGGTCGGTAAAGTTCATAGTGAATTTTACACAGAAACATTAGGCTTACGTATGGCATACATTAATGATTCTTGTAAATTGTAATTGAGATATTCACCCAAACTTTTTCTTCTTCTGCAGGGAGGAGGTGTTAGTTGTGTCATCCCCATATGAGTTTGAAATTCAGGGTCACCTGGTATTGTGTGTGGGCGTGGCCTGGCTACTAGTGATGACGAGCCTGGTGCGAGGAGTGAGAAGCTCTGGCAAGGTGGCCTATGTCACTGTCATTGTCCCCTACATCGTCTTAGTGCTCCTCCTGGCCTGGAGTAAGATACAGTATACCTGAATCTGAGATGAGATTAATAGAGATTCTGTATTTTAATTTTGTAACCTCACTGGATCGAATAAAACAAGTGTAGTTAATGTAGTGTCTGTAATTTTGATAGAATTTGTTTCTGTGGCCTTAAAGCAGTGGTTCTCAACCTGGGGCCATCCACGGCAAGAATTTAGGGGAGCCACGGCGAGCTGTTATAAATTGTACGTTTCCAAATAATGTTGGGACTCGGAATTAAACAAAACTTGTATTACTTATTTTGATTTGGCAGAAGAGAATTTTCATTCTTTTTTTGTCATTTTGTTTAATCATAACGACAATACAATTTTAATTATTTACATACTCTGGTGCTAATTTATTTTTTTATTTTTTACGGATTATTTAAGATTTCACAGGTCCAGTCCCTGTCTGTGTGACAGGCGCTGGACCGAGCTGCTGAACTGACTTGTTCAGTACGTGTCCGTCATCCCTTTGCAAGTGGTGATAGGACCGAATGATCTCAGTCTGGCCTGGGATACCATCACGAAAACAGTGGAGTGTATTGTCTCTGAACCATATATTGTGTTTGAGCTTGACTCAAGCATAACATACTCCGTAATTGGTGTTACTTATTTTGTTTCATAATTCATGTGGTCGCTGCTTTACGTGGGTGAAATATTTGTACACTTCCTTTATTAATTATTTCCTAATTTTTGGTGTCATTGCTGTTCATACTCATTCTTTACTTATATAATCCTACCATTTTTAGTGCTAAATTGGTATGACTCACTATTCTTCTCATCATTCCAAGTTGGGTAGTGCTTGTCAAAGGAGGCGTGTTCTTGCTTACAGGAAGTACACTTCAGCTTGCTAACTTGAGTGTGAATGTTTACCTGTGTGCATGTTTGTGTGTGACTGTATGTGTGCTTTATGTGTGAGTGCATGGGCGTGTTATGTATGTGAATGTGTGTTTGCCATTCTAACTCTTGTCTTATTTATCTGTCCTTCTTTATCATTCTTTAGTCTTTATCACTCGTCTGTTTGTCTGTTCTGGGAGAAAAATGAAGGAGGCCACGAGGATGTTGAAAATTCCTCAAGGGGGAATGGAGTGAAAAGGGTTGAGAACCACTGCCTTAAAGGTAGCCACTTATGTGTTTTTATTTCTTAATTTATGAGCAAATTTCAATATGAACTTTTTTAAGTTTCTGCTACAGTACTCTGTATAGTATATGACATTGGTAAATGATAAGTTTCAGCATTACGTGTCACAGGATGTTTCAACATTCCTACCCAAACATTATCCATCTCAACAAACTGGTTAGGGTTTCATGTAAATTTTGCTCATTTCCTTTTGCTCCCTCTAAAATAATGTACAATGGACTAGACATGTGGTTTTGCTGTAGAGAAAAGTGTGACCAATTGGTGTTTCTTGTGCAAAGTTGTCTCTCAATTTTTAGGAAGAAAACCCAAACAACGTGTAGAAACTGAGGATACAGGGGTCTATGGTTTAGGCAGTGTAAATAATTAAACATGGTACAAACCGCATTGACACAGAGTGATAAAAGGAACACAAATGTGTTTAGAGATTTACTTAGGTTGAGTGAAAGTTGTGCTGTTATCTCATACAGTACATGGAGATTTTGTTCCAGGAACAATGTATGCTGTCATGAACCAGTAAACTTGATAGACAGATAATATCTGCATATTAAAAATTCTACTTGGTATTTACAGTGAGGCATGACATAAGAATAACTAACTTATTTGTGTTGTCAGGTTATGACACGATGCATCAAGATGTGTGGCGGGAAAGTTTGAGGAACTATTTTTCGCCACATCGTGTGAAATCCTCCAAGCTTCTGGACCCAGAACTCTGGGCTGATGCTGCTACGCAAGTCTCCTTTTCTTTAGGTGCAGTGTATGGTGGCCACACCACACTCTCCTCCTATAACACATTCAAGCAAAACACTTTCAGGTATGTTGTGTAGATAACTCAGGTACAGTATGAGACCTTGAAGGGGATATTGTACTCAGTTACTAATTATATCTTTGAGACAACACTCAGGTCCTCAGATTTTCCTTAGGAACTTTCTTAATGTCTTCAGAAGAGTACTCAAGGTTCATTTAATATTGGTATACTTAAATAGATATCAATAGTATTTTTTTATTCATTTATTTGTTTATTTAAAACCTCTATTAATTAATTTATTTATTTACCATTTCATCACTTATGAGCTTACTAGTAGCCATTCGAGTGGTTGGTCTGCTCTTTATTACTTTGTTATGACCTTCATTGCCCAGCATAAGTACAGGAAGAAACTGGAGTACCCAGAGGAAACTTGCCATATTGATATAGTTTATTTAGCCAGAAAAATACAGATGCAGAGTGGACAATAATAACAATATTGACATAGCTGAGCCAATTGAGAGCCTTTCTTATTGTCTTTTGTAGGGTCACATTGCCCGCATTACAGAACCTCAGTTAACCAGAGAGATTAGAACACCTACAGTTGCCTAGCTTATACTATAGGCGGGAAAGGGGTGATTTAATACGTCAGTAAATATGCTCAGTTGAGTGCTCATACCCAGAGCTGGCAGATGCCTGCCTGACTTGGGGTCACATCTCAAGGTCAAAGAAGCATTGTGACTGTGTAGGTATGTAGTGTATGCTTGGTAAAAAAGTATCTTTACAATTATTCTGCAAAACAAAATGACACCACGAAAGAAGTTTCTTTGATAAAAAGCTCATAAGACATACTGTTATTCACCAATCATAATGAACCTAACTAATTTTATATTTTGAATGAAATAACTAAATTAGGCCTACCATAATAGGTAGGAAACGTCTCACAAGCACGCCTACCAACCGTAGTGAGACAACAGAATTGTTCAGTTCCAAATTCATCGGACCCCTCCTGAAAGATACTTTTTTACTGAGTGTATTGTCAGAAGCAGTAATATGCTACCCCCACCCCAGTAGACAGAGCTACTGCAAGTGAAGGCCTGGTGATTGGACAAAACCTTCTCTATCACCTTCCCCTTGTCAAAACGTTGCCTCGTAGTTTTGAAAATATCATGGCGAGCAATGTTGCATTGTGTCACTATCGGCATTCACTGGCTGTAGCCCAGATACTGGGGAGGGGGGGGGGGATGACAATTCAATTGCTGTTTCTGACTATACCTAGACACTTTTGTAGGCTTAAATTGGTCAAGTTGCCATACTGTTTACTTTTACTTTTATCCTCTTCACCAAATGATCGACTCGTTAGCCGTGAAGGCGATCGGTTACGTCTCTGTTACGCACTGTTGGCAAGTACTGGGCATGCACAGGCTCCTGAATGTACCTGAACCTGCTCCAGTGTTGGTTAAGTCTTGTCTTGAAAGAGCTCACACTCAGTGCTGTCACAACACTTTCTGGTATATTGTTCCATGAGTTCACAACTCTCCAAAAAAGTTTGCCCTCAGTTTTCTGGACTTGCGGCTTCTTCAATCTTAGCTGTGACCCCTTGACACACAGGAAACTACACTCCCACGACTTATGTGCACTGTATAACTGTTACACAGTAGTTTATAAAGACGTAAAGGCCTGGACTTTCGGATATAAATCCCTTGCCAGCCTAATCAGGATCTTATAAAAGGAAAATCAAGAACCCTGGGTTTCCAAGGGGTAACAAACAACCGTTAGAGATTGACACCTCTTTACTCCGAAAATAATCACAATAATTGACACCACTCGCACAAATATTAAATAAACACATACGGGAGTCAAACAATTATGGGAGTCAAACAATTATGGGAGTCAAACAATTACGGGAGTCAAACAAAGTACAGATATTTTCTACGGCGGCAGCCCGGTGGAATATTCTGTTAATGCGGTGGTCCGCTCTCAGGGGGAAGGTCCAGGGCAGCTTCCTCATTGGCACCGGCGTTGGTGGGCGATGTCTTGCCACACAGGAGAGACGCCAGGGCACGGACAGTGGATAGTGCGTGGAGGAAGTGGCGATGACCTGGTAGCTACGGTAGTAGCTGGAGAAGGTATCTGGAGATTGACAGCCGAATAGTAAAGGACTGGGAAATCAGCCCATGAGCCCCAGATGAGTACACAACCAGAGTGGATTGAACAGCGGGGTGCGAGTACAGCTGTGGTGATGGCTGGGTAGTGTCTGATGTGTGACGAGGCAGCATGGACCTTCTCACCTCAGTCTACCCCCTCCAAAGCTCCTAGCCCCCTAGGGGTCGCGAACAAGCAAACGAGCGGCGGACAACCATCCCGCTCGATACCGCCCTTACTAAAGATGCTTATCCAATTGTAAACCTGCATTTCAATTTTACTAAATAAATACTGTTATTATTATTATTATTATTATTATTATTATTATTATTATTATTATTATTATTATTATGTATATCCTCATGGCCACTAATTGGCCTCTTAGCTGCTTAGATATATTGTACAAACAATGTTGAACTCATATGATGTAATTGTAAGTGTTTTATTGTGAATAACACTTGGAGCAATACAGAACTAACATTTGTATTTATTGTTATTTTTCACCAGGAATTCCATTGTGATTATACTTTGCAACACGGCAACATCCATCCTGTGCGGATTTGTGGTGTTCGTCTCCCTCAGTCAAATGGCAGTGGATATGTCAATCACCGTGGATGATGTGTTCAATGGCGAGTATAGGCTGGGAGGGCTGGGGGCGGAGTTGGTGTTTATTGCTTACCCAGCATTCTTCAGCCGCATGACCAACAATGTATGGCCTGTTCTCTTCTTCCTCATGATCCTTGCACTTGGCATTGACAGCATGGTTAGTGGTCATCAGTCTTTGTTTTAATGTAGGCTATAAACGTCTTGTCTTAATCAATACTAATTTTGTTATTATAGTGCGTTTTTCCCAGCTGAGAAGAGATGCCCCGCCCCCTCCTCAAGAATTACAGCTGATTGGCTGTTGCAAATCTGTCCGATTTCATCCTGAAGTAATGATGTATTTTTAAATGATCAGAATTACATTGAAATATTACACGGTTGTCAGCAGAGGCGGGAAATATAACTGCGAACAACTTCATGTTTCCCGCCTCTGCTGACGGTTACAGTGGCCAAGGTCACACTCATCCACCAACTTTCAGAGGCAGTGTAATATTTCAATGTGATTCTGATCTTTTAAAATGTTAGCTTTTGCATAATGTATTTTTACTTATATGTAATTTGTCTTAGTATGCCTTATTGTGGGTAAAAATAAGTACTGTATGTATATATATATATTAAATGCGTCCTCCGAAAGCAAAAATTTGCTCCTAGAGTTTAACAGTTAATTCCTGTATAAGATTTCTGATAAACTTCCTACGTGCTCATGTTTTAAATAATGAATGTATGTATCTTTACATAATTTATCAAAAAATCTTTCTCGTCAAAAATGGTCATCCCAACGATTATATTATGAATAAACTCATTTAGAAATACATCATTACTTCAGGACAAAATCGGACAGTTTTGCAACAGCCAATCAGCTGTAATTCTTGAGGAGGGGGCAGGGCATCTCTTCTCAACTGGGAAAAAATGCACTATAGTCAGTGTTAAACTTGTTATTGTAAGTTCTGAATGACTTATCTTAATTTATGTTAAATTTGGTTTTAGTTAATGAAAAAGTTGCCCTAGGCTACCAGTGATTTGTAGGTTTAGTCAACATTATTCTTGCTATTAGTTCTCATTATTCTTGCTATTAGTTCATGTTAGGGTGCAGCCACACTAGTGTACAATCTGTCACCAACATGTGATTGACAAAACAAAATGAGGTACAGGGTTCTAACTCTGGTAGGGTGCTACCACATGCACTGGACTGGCGTTTCTTCTTGTTGATCACATTTTGGTGAAATTTTTTTACGCTAGTGTGGCTGCACTCTTAAACTTCTTATCTTAGACTCTGAAAGACACAATATCTTGGTTGATGTTATGTTTATTACTGTGGAGTCTTGATGACTTGCAAGTTAGGTACTCTGTACCAGAAGACTTTGTGAATTTTGATCATCACAATTATAGTTTAATTTATTTAAATAGAAATAATTAGTTAAGTTCCAGAGGCAAAAAAAAAAAAACCCAGTGATACTTCATTATACACTGTACAGGGTTTTTCAAGTCTTACATTTTATTTATTTTTTTACATGAAATAGTAGAAAACATGCAGAATTATCATTATAATTTGGTAACAAAAAGTGTTCATTTACCTTATTTGGCATCTGGAAGGCAAATATATACAGTATGCTGCACTATGTATTGATGAGTTGTGTGGTGGAGTTGCGCTTGTGTTGTTGGTGGTGATTCTATGTAGCGATGGACTAAGCTTAGTGGGTGGCCTGGTTATCACATGATGTTGGCTGATTTTGTGTGTCAAGGATGCGTGAGTTTTTTCTTTGAAGGGGCAAAAATTATGTTTCTCTGGGTATTATTCTTGAAATAACATGTATAGTATTGTATTGTTTTTTATAATAATTAAGAACAATGTGTTACATACTGTCTGCTATTTATGGTACACCAATATTTGTAAAAAATAATATGCTATACCAGAGACTGAAATACAGTTGGGTCTTGATTTACGCGGGTTTCGTTTACGCATTTGGTCATTTACGCGGTGCCTTGCCAGAACCGGGATGCTTGATTTACGCGGTAAATTTGGTCATTTAAAAGGAGAGCAGCTGGCGGTCCTGCTGCACCGCGCCATTTTTGGATTCAAACCTCCCGCCATATCCCGCCTTACCTTGATTTTTTCTAACCTAAACTAACCTACCGTAAGTGTTAAACCTTCATTTTTCTTTTACCTGATACAGTATGTTATTCTCTTATTGATATTTCTCTTCTATATTATGTGTGTGTGCTTACCATCATAAAGTTAAGATACTAATGTTACTACAACGTAGGTATTGTATCTGAAAAAGTGGAGTTTGGGAGTCGGCCCAGTCTCTATTTCAATTAATCCCATATGTTCTGTTATTTCATTTATGCGTTTCTCGTTTTACGCGGTACTCCGCGGGTTCAATTGACCGCGTAAATGAAGACCCAACTGTACTGTACTGTATTGTATTAATTTTTTCCAACTTGGTATACAGCTCTGTGTTTACCTCACATAAGCTGTGCTCCTTGACCCACATCTCTTACCATACAGTACACCAAGAAATATGTAGACAGGCAGACAAACTCACACATAAGATCTTACGTGTGTAACAAATAGATTATTTCTTTACAGTACAGAATATAAGATGAAATATACACGATTGCATCTCATACTGCTGAAGTGATAGAGCTTATGAACTCGAGTGAAAAATTGAACAGATTCCCTATCCCAACTCCATTATTCTTCTCTTAAACACAGTACAGTATTGGTAAAAACTACCCAAAAACATTTTGAGGATAGCACTTTTGATTACCTGATTGACACCACAGTAATACTGTATATAATGATATGACAAGATCCATTAGGTGAAGGACACATTCAATGAGCATCTGCATTTATGTCCTTTTTCTTAACTATACCATACCTAGCTAAATATACACTAGTTATGCACAGATTCTCTTACTTGCAACAGATCATTGAGTTGTTTGATGAATGGCATTATTGCACCAGTTGTCACTGTAGTCCACTCAGAACTTCACCATGACCTTTTGTGTTGCTGCAGATAGGTTTCATGGAGACATCAACAACAGCCCTCTTTGACAACTTCAAGTGTTTACGCCGTCTACGACTCCCAGTGATGTTTGTGATGATTATTTTCCTAATCCTTTTGGATCTGCCCTTATGTGCCGGCAGTGGTATTTTTGTGGTGGAATTACTGCACGGCTACACCTGCAAGGCTTCAATCTTGATAATTGGCCTCATCAAGATCTTAGTGGTCCACTACGTGTATGGTTAGTAATATTACACATGATGCTAGGGGGGGATCCAGGAATATCAAAAGGGGGGGCCCAAGAAGTTCTGGGTAGGGGAACATGGCAAACACAGTGAGCCCACCCAGCTAGGGGGCATTGGGGAGCACTATAAGCCCCACCAGAATTTTTTTTAAATCTGACCAATATCATGGGCCTTTTGAAGCCATATGCACTTGATATTAGGAGATATTCTGAGGTCACAAATAGTTACTTTTGATTTACAAAAATGCCCGAATACAATACTGCACTTAAAGAAAAAGTACATTACCTGTATTGGAATTTTATGATGAAAAAGGGGGATCTGGACCCTCAGGGCCCTCTTGGATCTGCCCCTGGATGCTGTATCACTTGTATATCTCTTGTCTCATGGTGGTTCACTGGTATATCTCTGTCTCTAGGTATGGTTAGTAATATTACACATGATGCTGTATCACTAGTATATCTCTGTGTCTCTAGGAATCTCCTCAGTCCCACCCCACAGCTCGTGTCCATCTTCCTCAGATTTGCATCAAGTTAAAGAAACCACAAGTATAGAACTACTTTGGAGTAAGAGTTGTCAACTCTGGGAATAACCAGTCAGAAGGTGTTGTGACGGCACCGAGTGTGAGCTCATTCAAGGCCAGATTTGACCAACACTGGAGCAGGTTCTGATATATTCATGAGTAAGTGCATGCCCAGTATCTACCAACAGTGTGTATCAAAAACGTGAACGACCACCCCAGCGGTTAACGAGCCGATCAGTAGCGAAGAGGATAAAAGTAAAAAGTAAGATCAACCACTCAAGTGGTTAACAGGCCGATTAGTGGCAAAGAGGTTACGATACAATATGATGCAAAGTTGAAATTATGAATTGACTATGGTACCAGCAAACCTTTTAGACTGCTGATCCCAAGTGCATTATTTATTTTATTTACCTAATGGCCACCCACTAGAGGTGGCCATGCCAAGGGAAGGAGGCCATTGGCCTGTGTTGGATCCCTCCATTATTCTTGATAATTTTGTCAAGGGTTATTTTGAAGCCCAGTATACATGTACTGTACTGTTATTGATTGTTACAGTATATATCATTATAATGCTCATTATTCAGGGGGAAATTTTAACCTCATATGTATTATATTCAAATCTATAAAATGATTCAGAAGTTATGGTGTGAGACCGTTCAGTGCTCTTGTTTTTTAGTTGTGTTCTGAACAATTGAGAGTGATATACGTATATGAATTATGATTACAGTACCACTTAGCCAGTCAGCACTTGCCTCTTAATAGTTTTGAACACTTCCTGCAGACATGTGTTCACTCTGCAGGGATCCTATACAGGCCACCTTATTTTGGCATGGCCACCTTTAGTGGGCGGCTATTAATTAAATAAAGTGCTCCACATGCATGGGAATGTAAATACAGTATTGCTTCCCAGGGGCCAAAATTTGCACTTCATAATGCCACATTCAGTTCTGTTGATGAAATTTTTGCAAATTGTATGTGTGTTTAAAGTTTACTGACATATCTATGAACCTAAATATCCCTGCCAACATTGAACCCCTAATTTTTTTGTTTCAGACACTGTAAATGACTTCTTTACATAAATTTACATACAGGTTACAAAAACAATTCATATCCAAAAAAAGGACATGCAAGGTAAACTTTTCTGGAATACTATACCTGTTACACTGTCAGTAGCATCACTGTATGTACAATTGCTGTTATTGAAGCTCCAATTATAATATAAGTAACAGAAAAAAGATGAAGAATGGTTAGTGTGCAACAGATATTTTCATCAGGAGTGAATTGTGCTCTATATTATAATTCAATATGTCTCACTTTTATGTCTCACTTATGCAGTTAGGGCATATGGCGACTGTACTGACAGCTGTGTTTGATAACTTTGAATGTCTTCGTCGTCGCTATGTACCAGTAGTGGCTGTGACATGTGGTACTGTCTTCCTACTGGGGCTACCTTTGTACACTAGTAGTGGCATCTACTTAGTGATGTTATTGAACAGTCCAATCTGCCGCTCTGCTGTGGTAATACTTGCCTTACTGCAGTTCGTGTTGGTGAATTATGTGTATGGTTAGTATTAACTGGATCACAGTGGTGCTTTGGTACCTGTTATAGGAATGTAAATAACAGATAAGTACGTAAGTAAAGGAATGTCTGTGGAGGATGGAATAGGAATTGCTCTTGCAAAGTTTACACTACCTTACTTCTGCTGGAATGCAGTAAATGTTTGGTTTAGGTAGTCACTGTTGCTGCTTGCCTTACTTAAAAAAATACTTATCCTCTTCATCACTTCAGTTGAGTAAGCAGTTAGTTTGTTCTCTTTTGTGCACTGCTGGAAGGTACTGAGCAGGTACAGACTCTTGGATGTGCCTGAACATATGCTAGTGTTGGTCATGTCTGGTTCTTTTTGAGCTTACAACTCTTATTTCCAAGAAGTTAGCTCTTGACAGTTTTCTGTATTGATAGCTTCTTAAACTTGAGGCTGTGACCTCTAGTACATTTGACTGAGTAACATTTGACTGAGTAATGCCCTTGGAGGTGCTTATAAACTTATATTAAATTGCCCTTTAGTATAAACTAGGCACCTGAAGATATTCAAATCTCTTTGGTAAGTGAGGTGACACTCCTCTGGACATTCTCGATCAATTAACAGTCTTTGGTATATCTCAGATATCAAACAAAATTACAGTACAGTACTTAAGTGAGGAAGCACAACTCATTTTGAAAACCCTTATGAGAGACAGACCATTCAAGTATGTGTAAGCTCAGTTTCTTAGTAAGATTCACCTTCTCAATATGATCCAAGAGTTTATTATTAACTGTATAGCACAGTATATCATTCGCCGCTGTTACTAAAAATAGATTCGAGAAGACGTGGGAGAAATGCAGCAAAGTTGCAACAGAGGACAAACGTCTCAACAGAAATATATAGTTCATATGCTCACAGCTGTTATATTTTAGTGTATTTTGTTCTATTATTTAAGTGTATTTTGTTCTTCGTATTTTAATGAGTAAGATGGTTATTTTAATTTATTATCGAGGGTAACGGGTAAACAGTGCTTTGTTTGTCCTCTGCACCCCTACATTCAGATCTTTCTCACATCTAACAGGTAGTTTCAGTTTGGGATGTGTCTTCTTCGCACTGGGACATGTCAAACACTTCCCAGGTAATGGTGTGGCCAAGGTGCATCCTCTTGCATTTTGCAATGTTGAAAGTTAGCATCTGTTCATTTGACCACTCTTGAAGCTAATATAAATCTCTCCGTATTGCCTTATGCTTTATCCTCTTAGCCAATGATCGGCTTGTTAGCCACATGGGCAGTCGGATACGTCTCTGTTGTGCACTGTTGGCAAGTACTGGGCATGTACTGATGACACATATTCACTTAAGGTATGCTGTGACTTACACAAACCAATACCTTTATATCTTCTAGTTTTCCGGTAAGTGTAAATAGGGCATTGTGGCCTTATGAAGATGCTGGTCAGACAATGTTATTTTTTCCAGTCACTTGGATATATCTTGAACATAAGCAGCAATATTTGCAAAAATATTACACATTTATGTGGAAAGTGGAAAGTTAGGATATCACCAGACATGCATAAACTAGTATCACAACAACAAATAGGGTCAACTTAAAATGTTACCATACAAAGACTTGACTACTGATTCAGGAAAAAATATTGCTACTTATACCAGTAAGATTCTGAAAAAATTCTAAACTGCGTACTTACGATTATATTTTCCACTCATACTGCAATTGTTCATCGAGTGTCCATATCTGGAGAATACCCGTCTCACTAGAAGTTACAGCTTAAGGTTGAAGAAGTCACAAATTTAAAAAGAATTTAATGCACACTTTTTTGGAGTTAGGGTTGTGAACTCTTGGAACAATCTGCCACAGAGCATTGTGACGGCACCGAGTGTGAGCTCATTCAAGACCAAACTTTACCAACACTGGTGCAGGTACAGATACATTCTGAAACCAGTACATGCCCAGTACTTGCCAGAAGTGCAAAATAGAGATGAAAACAATTGCCCAGGTGATTCACACTATTGTACTAGCACCTTGCCACACCAATTAGTCTGCTGTTGAGAGATCTTTCTGTATACTGTATACAGTACTTATTTTGCACTAACTGACTGACTGTTTGTTTACATTCGACAGAAGGAAATTCGCAATAGTAAACATACTATGGAATCAAATATCACAATATTAAAACAAATATCACAAAAACAATGATTTGTGGAATGTTAGATGATGAGCTCCTGTAAACGCACTAGTGAAGGGGACTGTACAATGTATATTTACCTATCAAAAGAGGTTTGTCAGTTGTAAAATGATCTTGGCAAAGGTATTTCAACAAATTTGTAGAATTTATTTTAAAAGTTTTTCAAATGTCATATTGCCATATCAGAGCCTAAGTAATTTATAAAACTACTGTACTGTAATTCATGAAACTAATTCATTGTATGTTTTAACAAATGTTTCCCAGATAGGAAAACAAGACAGTTCCTGAAACTGATTCAGGATGTATTTTATGTCTCTTCATCTTGGTAGAGTATAAAGTTCATATACTGGTTAAGGGGTGTTTAATTTTTTATTTCATTCTTAGGAGTTGTTTTACCTTTGTCACACCCTTGGAAGGGTTAAAGATATTTATAAACTGCTCTAGGAATGTTTTAATGGTTTTGTATCCTCGGCAGGCTTCAAGGAATTCATGAAACTAGTAGAGGAGGAGATGCAGGTGTGGATCCCACGACCTGTCTACTGGTACTTGGCTCTCACACTCAAATTCCTGGCCCCTTTATCTTTGTTGGTAAGTTCAGCCTCTCTTGATACTAAGAAACCCAGTGTAGTTATGTATTATGTTCAGATAAAGAGTAAAACATGAAACCGAGCAGTAAGCAATACAGTACAGAACTAAACCATATATTCAGACAATTACAGTATACTAGTATGCAGAATTTTTTTTTAAGTAACCTATTGGGTGGCAACAAATGGTAATGCAGCATAAAATTATGTTTCACATTTAACAGTACAGAGAAAATGGTTGCTAAAACTCAAGAAATTTGAGACTGAATATCCTCTGCAATTTTTGTGGAATCTGGTTAAAATTGAGTAAAAGCTGTTTCCACAAGTCCCTCTGTGTGAGTGTTAGTGAGCTTTGAGCAGTATAGTATACATTATATTTACATAAGTCTACTGGTAACAGTAGGTTGACTCAAACATTGAAAACACTGTGAAATCTAGTTGCTTCAGTGTTACCTGATGTGGGTTAGTTTTTCCCTAAAGGTCCAACAACGACTCTGTGTTTTTGTGAGTATGTTTTAGGATATTAATCAGTAGGTCCAGGAGCTACAACTGTGTGTCACCAAGATTTTCCTTATTAATATTTGACTGATAATGACTGACCTCGTCTGCTTAAAGATAAAAGAATATGAAACAAATGAGATTTTTTTTTCTTATTCTGAATCTCTTCAAAGGATTGTATGTGAATTCCGACTAATCATTACAACCATTTTCTGTGTGTGTGTGTGTGTTCAGGTATAGTATGTTTCTCAGTCATACAAAGTGTATCAGATTATGTGTTTGCTGACTCAAGGGTTCAAACAGTCTTTGTTTATCAATATAGCCGGCTGCTTATCACATGATTTGGGTGCCATTATGCCGACTGCATATATAAATTTTCTGGCCGCATGCAGCCGGAAATATAAGGGTTACGAATCTCTGGTCTAACTACTTAAGTACATCTAGAATAACACATAAACAGCAAAAAGTGACCTGGAAAAACCATAGGCGGTGAGTAATTAGCGTTAGAAAAGTACTGTACTGTAATTAAAATTATTGGGATGTCATTTGGTCGAAGGATACGGACATCCAATGGCAGACAACAGATCCTTAATCAGCATGTTCAGGTGTGCGTACATATACTGTACATAGATTTTGAACAGAATTGGTTATGTAAAATTAATTTCTAAATGGTAAGGCTAATAATCCCTTATAGGATTGGTTTTATTTTCAGAATTTAAATTTAATGTGTCTGAGAGCTAGAGGATTGAGTTTATTTCTGATGGCTATGACCCATTTGCAAATATCTCTGAGGCAAATGAGTAAGAGAGGTGTGGTTATTTTTACTAGAAAGGACATTACAGTTAATTGGAGGTCCAATCTCTTAAACTCAGGAATGCACACTTTTAGGGCCAAGGCACGTATGCACCTTGAGGATAGATAATTTAGCTCTAAAACACTCTTCTGAGAATTGTATGTGCTTTAGTACTGTGTTGGAACAATTTCTCCACAAAAGCAGGTTGGTTGTTTGCAAACTCTCTTGTAAACTGAAGAAGAAACACACAGCTGGGTGGTGGGGTATGTACGGTATGTGCTCTACTGTTTGTATCTTTTCTTATGTGTTTGTGTGTCCTCTTGTGTGTGTATTGATTAATATCAATACATACCTTCTTGAGAGAATGATCACCTGACTAACTCATACACAGGGACTACTGGTATGGACAGTGGTGGGAGAGCCTCAAGTGTATGCTGAACTGCCCCTGCCCTTCTCCTACAGGGTTGTGGGGTGGTCTCTCACTCTCATCATCTCCTGTGGTATCATCCCAGTCTTTGCCATCCGTGCCATATACCACAACAGGAACCAGGTGGGTCCTTGTGTCGCATAATTTCCCAATTAGTGCCACATCCACTGGTACAATGTCTTATAATCCTGTGTATTCTTGAGTGTGTTTTAATCTTGAGTACTGTACTTTTGAGTTTGTTTGAATAGTGTCAAAGTAGGCATACCAACATATGATGAAGCATTGGAGAATACTGTACACATATACTGTATTAAAGCATTTCATCTAGTACTAGTACTGTACTTCTTTTGGGGACTGTGTATTGAATGTTTTATAATCTTGTGTATTTTG